ATCACCTGTTGAGACTCTGCTTTACAGATTTATAGACTTTCATCATTTCTGTATTTGTGCAAAGGGATGGAGGGGGGCAACATTACTACAATAAAGGAAAAATTGCCATCAAATTGTTTTTTTTTAATGTGGTTTTTAATAGAAACAATAATGCCTCAAGATTCATTCAAGTGTGTATCTACGTCAACTGCATTCCACCAGCCAACTGTTGACAAATCCTAAAATATTCAAAGCAAGGTTTTGTTATACTGTTGTTTATTTAGAATTTGTTGCACTACAAAATATTCTTTTACATGGGTCATTTATAAAAATTATATTAAGTAAATATTTTAATGACTAGCAGTGGAGGAACATACAGAGGCTGCGCTCGCTCGCTCTCTCTCTCTCTCTCTCTCTCTCTCTCTCTCTCTCTCTTGAGACAGGGTGTCATGTAGCCCAAGATGGCCTCAAACTAGATATTGAAGGATGACTTTCAACTTCTGATCTCCCTGTGTCTATTTCCCAAGAGTTGGGAATAAAGGTATGCACTACCATGTCCAGCTGTGGTATTGATACATAAAATGAGATAGTAAAAGAAATACTTAGCAATTAAAGAAAGATACCTTTCAGACATGGTAATTTTTTATGTTTAATTTTTGAAACAGGGTTTATGTTGCCCAGCGTAGGCTTGACCAATCCTGTCTCAGCTTCCCCAATAGCTGGGACTATACAGATACCTCCCTCCCTCCACTGCTGGCTCAGCTGTAATTACTTGAATGACATTTCCCATCAGATAGATGAATATAGATAGATGATATAGTTTGTTTGGTTTTGTTTGTTTTTTGAGACAGAGCTTCTTTGTGTAATTCTGGAGGTCCTAGAACTCACTCTGTAGACCAGGCTGGCCTCGAACTCAGAGATCTGCTTGCCTCTGCCTCCCAAGTTCCCATCATATTTAATCCCTCTTTATTTGGGAATAAAAGTACTTTCATGGGAGCAGCAAGTGGGAAAGAGCAGGAGAGGCTTCTGAGGTGTCAACCATCTATCTGCTCTCAGCTAGTCACAACAGGCAGCACCTGTAGTCCCAGGTACTCAAGAGACTGAGGCAGGGATATTCTGAGCTGAAGAGTTCAAATCCAGCCTGGACAATACACTAAGAGCTTTTTTTTTTAAAAAAAAAAATCAATTTCCAGGGCTGGAGAGATGGCTCAGGTTCAATGATCAAGAGCACTTGTTGCTCTTGCAGAGGATCTGGTTTGGTTCTAGTACCTACACAGCGGCTCACAGCCAGCCATAACTCCAGTTCCCAGGAAGCTGATGGCCTCTTCTGACTGCCATGACACTTGTCATGTGTCATGTATGTGGTACACTTACATAATGCAGGCAAAACTTTCATACATGTAAAATAAACAAATATAAAATAATTTTATTTCATAAGATATATTTCTGTTCCTGGTATGGTAGTGCACATGGAGCCAGAGGCAGGAGGATCTTTGTGAGTTTGAGGCCAGGCTGATCTACATAAGGACTTTCAGGCTGGCCAGAGCTACATGGGTTAGACCCTGTCTCAAACAAATAAACGAAAAAGAAGAAAGAAAGAAACAAAGAAAGAAAATATCTACTTCCGCTTCCAGGTAATGATTACACAGGAAAAAATACAAACTGCAGACCCTCTTTTACCCCAACAACCAGTATTATTAGCTTTTTTGGAAAACTACTGAGTTTACTAAAAACTACTTTTACACAGGAAAATCCCCATAACATAAACAGTGGCACACCCAGAACATTAATCTATGCCTTTTGGTTTTGTTTCTGTTTTTTGAAACAGGGTCTCATGTAGTCCAGGATGGCCTTAAACTTTTTATGTAGCTGAAGCTGAAGCTGGCCTTGAACTCTTGATCCTCCTACCTCAGCCTCCCAAGTGCTTCGGTTACAGGCATAAGCCACCACACTAATTTTCCCCTGGCCTTTCAAAATTAACACTACTACTGTATAGTGAGTGTTCCACAGCAATTTATAGTGTCCCCATTCTTTGTTGCACATACATACATGCATATATTTTTCTACTATGTAAACATATACTAATGTATTTAATTAATTCTATAGTGATGGACCCTGAATTGGTTTCTGATTTTTTTTTTTTTTTTTTTTGAGACAGGGTCTCTATGCAGCCCTGGCTGGCCTGGAGCTTGCTTAGGTAGATCAGACACAGAGGTTGAAATCACAGACTCAGAGGTTCACCTGTCTTTGCTTTCTGAGTGATGGGATTAAAGACCTGCATCACTATGCCCAGTTAGTTTCTGAACTTTTGATTAATGAATTTTAATTTAAATGATTCTATATGCTAAAAAAAAAAGTATAAAGCTTTCTACAACTAGTAACCTTCAAGCAAGGTAATTTCAAACTCCAGTCATGTCCTAATAACAGGAAAAGTTCTTGGCCATTCCAGTTGCCCAATAAACAGATTTATCCACAGCCTTGAGATCACTCTCTCCTTCAGCACAAGACACTACTTTAAATGTGTTAGAATGATATACTCCAAGGAGAAAAGCCACTCAAGTCTTCTCATTTTGTAGGTCACACACTGTAAGTAAAGAGTTCTGTTCCAATGCCTGCCTAGAAGAGTCTAAATTCCAAAGCTGAGAGGCAGAGGTACACTTAAAAATATATTCTGCACGGTCGACACTGTGTCTTGGCTAAACTTTCTGATATCACATGCACAGTAAAGACCAAAATCTCACTACCCATTCATGGGTTTGTAAAAGGGGTGGAGGTGGGATGGAAGACTAGCTTTCTGCCTAAGCCATTTGATTTTAGTGAGTTAGGAAAAGTAATGTTTGTTTGTTAAAAGAAAGCATCCCTTCCAGAAAAAATTTACTCAGCAAAATCTATTACAATTGACTACAACTTGTAGGCCCATCCTATTTAGTTTGCTCTATCATTCCTAGCACACACGGTTTTAGTGCTATTACCATTACATCCTCTGGCCAAGGGTAACTTTTCCTCAGTGTGCTGCAAAATCTATGGCAAGTCAGCAACCATTGTTTGCCAATCTCTCTTTATCATAATTCAAAGTTAGTGACTGATTCCACCACTAGTAGGCAAGCCACCAGGCAGCTCAATAATAAAAGAAAATAAGGATTAGCAAATTCCATTGAGGTAAATCCTAACACATTGTTTATATGTGTCTTCCTTATCTGAAAAGGGTCTAGGTAACTCTTGTTGGCTCACAGACTTACCACAATGCTACACTGCAAAAAAAAAAAAAAAAAAAAAAAAAAAAAAAAAAAAAAAAAAAAAAAAAAAATTACTGTACAGTAGCTAAAGAGATACTATTTTAAAAGTTATATGTACCAAATAATACTGCATATATGACCTTAACCAAACCTATTTTTCTTTTTTTGTCTGTTTTGGTTTTGTTGTTGGGTTTTGTTTTTTTTGGTTTGGTTTGGTTTTTTGAGACAGGGTTTCTCTGTGTAATCCTGGCTGTTCTGGAACTTGCCCTGTAGACTAGACTCAAGAGATCCACCTGCCTCTGCCTCCCCAGCACTGGGATTAAAGGTTTGCACCACCACCGCTTGGCTGGATCTATTTATCAAAGCAGTTGATCTCTCATTTGAAAAAAAACAAATGTCATATTTTATCATAAACTGCCTTTTTGACTAATAAGCAAGGCTCCACACACAATCTATAAATCAAAAGCAGACCATTAATTAAATTTAACAGGTACAAGTCCTTACCTTTCATTTCTTTCCCTACCAGAGCAAAAATATAAATACACACATACAAACCGACAGCCCTATTGACAGTTCATGATCAAAAATTCAGATGAGCATTGGGAATTCTCACAATATAATGGCATGTTTTTTAAAGTCAAACATAACTGCCATATAAATAAGCAGATTAAAATCAGCATCTGATTTCTTCCCTGGCTCTACCAAGCACTTTATGACTTGTGCTAACCATGAGAATTTACACAAGGCTTTGCGTGTGATTCAACTCTGGGCACAAAACTCACTGAGATTCGCTAATGTCCTAAAGCACTTTTTTTTTTTTTAAATCACATGAGCTCTGAACAGACTTAAAAAACTAGCACAGCCTATGAGGTAATGTTACAGAATTTAGAGCTGAGTTTTATTGTTTCTACCAAGTTTGATACTAACAAATCAATTTCTAATAATCACCCTAAAACAGCAAGTTGAAGTTCGGCTCCAAATCAAATATTTGCAAGTTTTCATCCTAAATCAGTACAAGCAAAGAAATACATAAAACCCCTAATGATCTCCACTTAGTTTTACTTTGACAAGCTCTGAATCCCACCACTTACTGAGTTCCTAATATGCACATATACCAGGAACTGTGCTGGGAACTTGCAGACTTTATCTCTAATCCTCACAAGAAATCTCATTGTACTGATGAGGAAACTGAGGCAAAAAGAATCAAGGTGATTTGTCCAATGGCTTAAGCCCAGTAGACAGTGGGACTGGAATGTCAGCCTAGTTTACCTGGTTCCAAGGAACTCTTCCTTTAGCTAAAACTCACCAAATACAATGCCAGTTCATCCACATCAAAGTCAACACACACACTACTTGTCTCAAAGGCAAGAGCTAAGAAAAACATCATACCTAAAACAGTGGCATACAACTCAGGAGTTACCAAGGAGATGCAGTTACCTACTCCAGAAGAACTAGTTTCAAAGACTATTTGTTCAAACTCTGAGACAATCCACTCTTATTCCTTCCTGGCTTTCAACTGACTTTTTAGAATAAGGGAAAATAAACTCAAGCATATATTCTCAATTTTGGTAAAATCATCAAAAAACTATGAGAAAGGAAAGAAGGGCACATATAGTTCACATTATAGTTTACTTCTTCAATAGGCTTCAGACATGTAAAACCAAAAAGTTACATCAGTAACCCTACTAATCTATATCTGTACACACACACACACACACACACACACACACACACACACACACACACACACACACCCCTCTACAGACTTGAGAAGTATTTTCTTACCATACTACAGGCTTACTCCCCAAACTCAGAGCACAAATGGAAACCATTCTGGGTGTCTGGAAGCAGATCTTGAGGCAACAATTGCAGAGAGGAGCTGCTGGTTTGACACTCCTAAGGGAAGGCTGTCTGAAGAGGAGAGTTGAGGAACTGAAGCCGCTGTCCTAATGAGGGTGAGCTGGGGCATCACTACTCCTCCAACGTCTCACTGCAATGCTGTGCAATTTCTTTCCCAGCTTCCATGTTCTGATTCTGGTGAGCAGAGAGAGAATGCTGTCCTCACAGCCCTAAGTGCTACTTGATCAGCTGCTCAATGGTGTTTAGGTCTTTAACTAGGTAAGTGACTGGTTAGAAGGGGTGCTGCAAAATTAAACCAAGTAAGCTCATTGTTCCCTGACACTACAGTGGTCCTCCCCTAATATTACACTCACTGACAAAGAAAAGTAACATATTTGAAACTTTGAAGTCCTTTGAGTTTAGTATAGGCAAATAATTCAGATGATAAAACTACAGGCGTGCCACCAACAAAAAAATATATAACCTGTAATATAAGTCACTTCAGTCATGCATATTAGGTAATAAAAATGCAACATATGCTACCTCAGCGTACTTTCAAACACCATAGAGTACACTGCATAATTATTAGAACAAATGCTATTATTCAGGTGTATGGAACAGGTTCTGTGCAGGATTCCAAGCCTCTCTTGCCTTTCAAAACGCTAGTTAATACCAGGAATTCCTTAAGCTTTTTTTTTTTTTTTTTAAGTGGAAATTGTATGCTCCTTGAACCTGCGACTGTGGTTACTATCACTGCCTATCACAGCACTATCTATAAGCTGAACTCATGTGTCTTGGCTGAAATATGATCAAAAGACAAACGCTGAATGCAGAGTAATTTAAACACACAAAAACTGACATTTATCATTTGCTTACTAACAGACTAGTGCAGAGTTCATCCTCAGCTCTTGATTCTGAATGTGGAGAGCAAATTTTTCAGTATAACCAAGATCTTCCCATTAAAATTGATGGCACCGTGAAATCAAATTTAGCAAAGCTAGGGGGGAAAAAACCCTCAACCCTGAACAGGTGCTCTACCATCGAGTGACAGATCAGCCTCAATCTTTAAGGGCTGTATAGCCCCATAAAGGCACTATAAAACACACTGCACACTTCACTGTTGAAATCTGTTACATTTGGAATACGCAGGAAGATAAGGATCAACTGGTCAAATCTAGATTATTTTGTCTCTAGTTTTAACTTCTGAACGATTCTCACCCATCTCCCTTTTCACAGGAAGATAGGGAAAAATATCTTCTAATTCCTAACTGCCCTTACCCAAAGAACAAAACACAATGATAAGCCACCTAGAGAGATGGCTCAACAGCTAAGAGCACTTGTTGCTCTTACGGAGGACCCAGGTTCTATTCCCGGCACCTACATGGTGACTCATAACTGTCCTTAACTCTAGTTCCAGGGCTTCCACCACCCTCTTCTGCCCTCTGTGGGCACCAGGCACATATATGGTACATATACATGCAGGTAAAATATGCATACAAATAAATCTAAAAAATGTTGAATTAAAAAAAAACTACAAATGATACATACGAAAGCACCTTTGCTTTTTAGTCCAGAGCCAAAGTAAGTCTAATGCTTTAGAGAAACAAAACACAAACTCAAACTGCTTTCACTTTTGCATAACACAGATCTTAACTTGAGGTTCCAGGACCAGCTTCAAGATGACTATTCAGTTGCATACAAACCATATATGTATTTCACTGCAAAGAGGGCCCTAAAGACTTCTGCAGCCCCAGTAAAGAGTTTAGGATCACCAAAACTTAGCGGTCAATCTTTTAATTCTAAAAAAGTTGTGATACAAATAAGCAAGCCATTGACACAAGACAACATACCCATCAAAGACCACTGGGGAGCATCAACTGCCTTCAGTCCACAGCACACATTCGAGCAACGGCAGCTTTCCTTTCCTCAGCAAACATAAATGCTGTCAACAATGCATGAGCTGTTTGCCTTTCTCAGAACAATACGGACCCGACCATCCCCCGGGGGGGAAAAAGTATATAGAAACATGCATCCCAAAAGATTACACTACTTACACAGCTATGCCTTGTTATGTCAAACGTTGCAACAACAACAACAACAAAAACCGATGAAAATTACTGTGTGCAGAAGTATCTAAGTAACTGGGGGTGGGGGTGGGGGGGCGGAGGAGCATCACTCAGGTTATACTGAGAGTGCGCTGGAGAAGCATGCAAGGGAAACACCACGACGATGCTTAAACATGGGTAAGATCCAGGGGCAACCAAAGACTGGCTGACCGAGGAACATCTTCCTCCAAAGGCACATTCCTTTGATTGGCACAAGCCATTCCTGACAATGGATCCACGATGACAGGGGCCGTTCGTTTCTGTAATCAGGAAGTGCGCGAGTGTGCGTGTGCATATGTGTGTGCTCGAGCGTGTTCGTGATGTTGTTGTTGGGGGAGGGATGAGCTACATGTAATCAAAGACTGGCCCGCCTCAAATAAGAGCATATGGGGCTCTTAAATCCTGAAGACTGACTTCGGGGCGAGGCAGGGACATCTATCATTTCTACCGGAGACGTCCCTCGACAATGATCGTGTTTCGTCGGGATGTAACAGGGGTGTCACTCTCTTTGGTGTCTACGATCTGATACTCTTCAGGAGAGCCTGATTGGAGGGGAGGACCAAGTGGGGGTGGAGAAAGGTCTGCATCGCCCACTGGGCTGAGTGTGGTGCTGCCGGTGGCGAGTGTACATCACATGCGTGTTATCTCCCGGTGCCACAATACTCCAGAGCGCTGGAGGTTTGGGCGCAACCGCAGGGCGGGGGAGGTAGTGGGTGCAAGCCACCAGCTGCGGGCCAGGAGAACGCTCCCCTCCGCCCGCTAACCCGTGCACCCCGGCCACCCCGTCATCAGGCCTCGAGGCGAGCCCGCTCGCTGCAACACTGCAGCCACGCTGGGGTCCCCGAGAGAGGGGGCGGGGGGTAAGGAGCCGGCACCCCGGGCCAAGCTGGGAGT